AGCATTAGGGTATAGTTTTGCAACATTAATGCTGGAACTGCAATATGGGCTGCTTCTCATTAGCAAAAACTCTAATTTCATCCCACCTCCCTGATGTGAAGGCAGCCACTTTGATACATTATGATGCTTTTGAAAAATTAAATGTTTCTTAATCTTGTTTTTTAAATTAAATGACTCCTTTGTTTCTTCTTCTTCTTTCAAAAAAAAATAGCACAATAAAATGGGTTTATGACAACTCGCCATGGCCAACTAGCCGTAGCTAACTCGCCATGGCTAACTCGCCACAGGACAACTCGCCACGGGACAAGATTTACATTAATATCAAAGAAATAATCGAACAGAATCATTAAAGAAAGGATACCAAAAGAGGCACAAAATAAAATGTGAATGACAAAAATTAAAATAATTGTTGAATTGTCCCACAGTGAGTTGTCCCATGGCAAGGTAGCCATGGTGAGTTGGCTGTGGCAAATCGGCCACGGTGAGTTGGCTGAGGTGAGTTAGCCCATTCTGCAACAAAGCATTGATAAACATGGAACTAGGGTGCTGCTAGATGCCGAATCTGGCACCCTTCTGTTGGTCAGCTGGAAGGATTGGTGGTTGATTCAAGGGAAGGAATTATCACTGCAAAAGTATTAATGAAGACAGATGCTTCAGAGAATTTGGAGTGTCTCTTTAGAAGTGTCCCATACCCATTAAGGCTTAGAAACATACTTTTTGGCACAGGATGACAAATTACTATGTAAATTTAGGATTCATTTCTGGGAAAATGTGTTAAGTATGCCTTATTGAGCTCCTGGAGGAAAGGTGGAATGTAAACCTACCAAAAAAATCAGAGAAATAAATAAATAAATTAGATAACAAAATATATGCTGACAAATCATGGCTTCAAAACATCATGGCTTCGAAATCTAAGGGACTGGTTTGGACAAAACTCAGCAGCACTTTTTCGTGCAGCTGCTGATAAAAACAGGATCGCCAACATGATCGCCAATGTCCAATAACGGATATGGCACAAGAAGAAGATGCTGACAAAAACTAAAGCTAGGCATAACTTTTATTTCAATCATCTTATTTTCAGCATTATACTCAGGCTTGCTTACTCTCAAAATATGTGTGAGTTGCATTATTAAAGCAATGACTCAAAATATATTTAAAGCCACAGAAGTCAAGTCAGGGCTATCTATGGGAGGTGACCCGAAACCAAGAGTTCTATAGCAGCAATGTGGTGATCAAAAATAAGTCAGGTCCGGAGACTTCCGGTGGCAGGCGATTTCGCTGGTCGCAGCTGTTTGCTGCCTCCCGCCTGTTTTGCGTAAAAGCCGGTTTGACAGCCAGCACCAGCTGTCAAACGGCTTGATACCTTTCCCCTGGGCATAAGGGGATAGGTGAGCTGCCCGGGGTAGGAGTTGAGTTCCCGAGTCGTCCTATATGGACGATGTAGGCGAGA